TGGCAACTTGTTAAATTTACGCAAGACTCGAGCACTGCACACGCATACACAATTAGGCTGGGGGAAAACTGAGCATTGTAGCTGCGGGGAGTGGGAGTGAGAGTGGCAGGCAGGCAGAAGTTGGCTCAGTTACGCAAAGACCAAATCAAAAAACCATTTGACGCACTTTCATCATCAGCAAACGTGGGCGTGGCACCTGCTGCTGACACATTGAAACTGCCAATAAGTTAACGCCAGCCTCATCCACATTACAAAAAACAAAATGTGCAAGTGCCTAACAACAATAATAAAAACAACAACAACAACTACAACAACAACAACAACAGCAACAGCATCGACAACAAATTGCAGCGAGCCCTCAAAAAGCTGTCAAGTCACATGGTTCCAGCTATCCAGGCAGTTTTCTCCTATGGCTCCCAGCCTTAATGAACATTTAAGTCTGGCCAAAGCCTTTTGCATGTGGGTAGAGGCTGACACAGTGTGACCAGAGCTATGCAGCAATCACAATTTTAGCAGCCACAATAGGTGAAAGAGAAAACAGTTGAGAAAAAGAAACATACTCTTCCGATTTATCGTATATTTTGATTATTACAAGAATCGGGGTATATAAATTTGGTTAAAAGAACTTGTTTACCTTCTAATATTGACTTGTATTTGGATATAGTTACAGAGCTTGATTTGTATCGAGATATCTATAGTTTATTTAAACACGCTGACGGCGAAGCGCTGCAACTTAGGATACGAGTAATTTACACACTATCAATCGATAATTAAAATTTATCGATGTTCGATGAATTTCGCTTTTTCGCTAGCAGCTTGCGTGACTCGATCACAATCAATCACGACTTTCGGCATTTGCCCAGCCCAGTAAATTTACTCTATACCGTGTGTTGACTTTATCTGCTGCAAAATATTTTGGGCAAAGCACTTTTCTGTATTTTCCTCGTTTTTTTGAATTTTTTCCTTTTTTTCCTTTTTTTTTTTTTTGGGTCAAGTGTTGCCTTGGCTGCTGCTGCTGTTGCTGCTGACGTAGCAACGCTTTTATTATTATTTTTTCGGAGTAGGAATTAAATATCAAGCAATACACGTCTGTCTCTCTCTCTCTTTCCATGTGTGTGTGTGTGTGTGTGTGTTCGTATGTGCACATGTGTTGTTGCTGCTGCTTTCGCATTGCCCGAATCTTACGGCTTGTGCTTTTACTCCCGACTTGGGCTTTTTTGCATATCACCATCATTCAAGTAAAGTTTGCTTTTGCTTTTTGTCGGCTTCTTCTCTGCTGCTGCGCTGCCGCTGCGCTGCTGCTGCTGCTGCTGCTGCTGTTGTTGTTGTTGTTGTTGTTGTTTGTTCTCTTGTATTTTTGGTGTTCAAAAGCCCACACATCACTTTTACACATACCCTCCCCCCATCTCCTCCGCCGCCCGAATGCATCGTTCAGCCTTCACTCTGACCGATTTGCCAAGTCTTTGTGTACCCCCCAATTACCCCTTGCTTCACTCTTACATCAACTTGAAGTTCTTGTGTTTGGGTTAAGTGAAAAGTGATTGAGCAGATTTTTGCGAATCTTTGGTTTCATCTCTCCTGCTCGCACGCTTTCCCCAGCGCTCTCTCTCAATCTTCATCTACCTATGTATGTCTCTCTCGCTCTATCTATCATTCTGTTTCCTTCAACTGTTTTTGTAGCTGTTGTTTACGTCTTTCAGCTGCTGCTTGTTGTTGTTGTTGTTGTTGTTTTTTTCTTCTTGGCCATTTTTGATGAAGGTAGCCAAGTGTTTCACTGTGTTAATTGTTGTCTTTGCCTCGGCTAATTCATTGTTTCTCTCCTCGATTTTTTTTCGCACTACCAAAAGATCTGATAGAGCCGCAAAAAAAAAAAAAAAAAATTGTGCATAGAACAAAAAGCAAAAATATGTTTTGATGTTGGCTAATTGCGATAGTTCCGATGAAAATGTTCAGGTAAACGGATTCGTTTCCGGCATTCTTGGAAAATATTTGCCAACGGTATCTTTAATCTGTTTATGTACCAAACAGTTCTCGAGCCGCAAACTCTGGCACATACACGCACAAACATTGTTCAATCATAAGCAAGTCAAGCAATATATGCATTCATCTCAGCAGCATCAATCAAATAGTGATTGAGTCATCTGATTTGAATGTTTTCTATTTTTTAAAAAATATGTGCTCCAATTGTGTAGCTCAAGCGTAAGGTCAACTATTTAATCAGTCGCAAATTTACCTAAGGGCTCAATCATATGTAAGTGAATTGTTGACTTGATTTTCATGCTGTAATTGTGTAGCTCAATCATTAAGTCAGTCTGCAGTGCACAATCACATGCTAGTCAATCTTTGTTGGGCTTTTAATCAATTTCCATGAAACAGTCGATTCTTGCGGAATTCTTAACGCTTCTACTGTGTTTTATTTTCAGACGTGTTTTGATTGAACTACATAACAAAAGAATTAAATTCAAATACGCCTAAATTGAAGCAATTTCAATCATATCAGAATTTATCAGAATGCTAGAATCTAGTTGCAATAATTATGTGCCAGCTCATCGCATGCAAACATCATCAATCAGTGTCATCAATCAGCAACAGCAGCAGCAGCAGCAGCGGCAGCAACAACAGCGTCGACAACGGCAGCTTTTGTCGGCACCTTGGCTATCATTTAGCTTGTTGTTGCTTTTCGATTTCACAAATTTTCTTTGCCCGATTTGCCGATAGCCAATTGATTGTTGCCATTGGGCCTCGTTGCCACTTTTTGCAGCATAAATCAAAAGCGGAAATTGCCGTCGAATGCGACGCATTTGTATGCAACACGCTGATGAGATGACTTCATTAGCATCTGCTGCTGCTGCTGCTGCTGCTGCTGTTGTTGCTGTTGCTGCTGTTGCAAGTTCTGATTGTTTGCACTGGGCCCGAACTGGGCCCAGCCTGGCAAATCCAATCAAATGAGCGGCGAAGGAAATTCTCATCGAGCCGGGGCGACAATTAGTGCGAAATGCTAATGAAAGGCGCTGAAAGTGCAAATGCAGCTAGCTGTATGCACTTCATTAGGTACATCATGATTGATGCCATCAACAGCAACTTATAAATGCCAAGGCAAACCAGTCACACTCACGTTCACAGTCGCAGTCACAGTCACAGTCGCAGTCACAGTCACTAGACCCAATCAAGTGAACCAGCCACAGTAGAGCAGACCCGATCTAATTAAGTTTAATTTCATCTTCCAACTAAATGTCTTCAGCTTTATTGGTTGTGTATTTATTTATTTCTTAATTCCGTACACCCATATTTATCATCATCGCGTTTCGTTTCATTTCTATATTCGTATCTTTTTCTGTTTCTGTTTTTGTGTTGTGGTATATCATTGTCGTTTGTCGTTTCGTGATAATAAAGATTTATGCCAGCCAGACCCAAAAATTCAACAAGCCCAAAAAACCAGAAGCCGCAAACGTTGCCCAGTTATCGGTCAAAATGGTTTTAAATTTTTTTTTGTGTTTCGATGGAGGGAGGGGGGGGGGGAAGAAGATGAATGCATTTTTAATTAGCGGTTGCTGCTCTACAATTTTCTCAGAAAACTTCTTCTGTCAGCAGTCGAGTTTTCGTTTTGGTTTTTCTTCACATTTAAACCTGCATTCACATTCGCATCCTGCCGCAGCTTCTGCTGCTGCTGCTTGGAAATTAGGCGGCAAAGTTAAAAAGCAAAAAGAAGAGCAACCAAATTATAATACTCTTCGCAAAGGGTATACACAAAGCAATGCAACTTGTTGGCTATACGAAGAAAGGGGAATATAATTACAAAAAAAAAAAAATAACGCTTGACACGCCGCAGACTAAATACCCTTACAGGGTTTCAACTTTGCTTACCAACAATTTTAACTATTAAGCCATATGATATTGCTAGAGGGTATTACTATTTGTTTAACCAGCTTATCATTATGTTTTTATGTTTTATAAGTAAGTTTGAGGCCGCTCCAAAGAAACATATAATTTTGCCTTGACTACCACTGCCTTGCAATCTCTTTCATCCAAGTGGGGTGTAGTCTGCTACTGAAAAGATTTTTCCCATATTTGGATGACATAATGAAATAATGAACTGCCAAGTTGGGCTAAGATATCTGTAAAAACAAACCTGTTCCCGAACGAATTTAATATATGGACGGGAAAAGAAAGAATTGGTCTTTGATGCTGATGAAAATTAAACAGATATGGTAGGATTTGTCATCTCTTATGTGTTACATGCTTCGTAACATAATTATGATACACTTTGCAAGGGTATTAAAACAACAGAAGTCTAATCAGCATCAGCTGGCGCCAGATTCAGATCCTTTTGCTCGCCGATGGCTGCAACCGTTGGCTTGTAAATTCTGACACGCACTTCAACAGAGAGAGAGAGAGAGAGAGAGAGTGAGAGAAACAGGGAGATTTAGAAAGAGTAAAGAGAGCGATAGTGGGAAAGACAGAGAGAGCATGAGAAAGATGTATGCCTCATAAAACCTTGCACCGAGCCATTCACATATATTACCAGGCATTCTGTCATTGTTGACGTAGGACAGTGTAGGTCCTTTGCCAAAAGCCAATTGAAAAAGTGAGAAATTAAAAAGAATGTAAGGAGGAAAACAAAGAAATAGATGTCTGTCGGCATGCGTAATATCTTAGGGGCCCCCGAATAGAAGTGTTAGAAATGTGTCGAACCTAACAATTCCACAAATGCCTTGATTTTCTCAAGAATTTAATGCATATGCATATAAATATTTTCTTGGAATATAATTAGACTTGAGTTCAACTGAAACATTAAAGAACTTGAAAAGGAAAGTCTGGACAGTTTAAAGTGTGCCACAAAAAAGTATTCTTCTTCTAGAAAGCGTGCTTCTAGTAGGCGACGATTTAAAAGTCTGTAAAAAATAGTTAATGGATCGAGCTGAAAGCAGATTATAATCATTTCCACTCGAGTGCTGTAAGGGAATAGAGCTACGCAGCTCAACACAAAAGAAAGAAAGTTTTAATTTCTAAATTTTGTAAATTTGTACTACACTAAAGTTTTTTTTTGTCTAGTCTAGTCTAGTCTTAGTCCTTAAGCTAGTCTGCCAAAGACGCGGGTGAGTTTTTAGTTAACAAGCTCAGCTGTAGACCTTAAGAGCTGCCTCTTTGGCTTGCAGTGGAGTCCAGTGGATGGCTAAGTCGCGTTGCCCTGGACGTGCGGACCCTTCGCCTGCATCTAATCCCGGCCAGAATCTGCTGCAGCTGCTGCAAGTCAAAGAAGTTGTTCTTCGTCAAACCTAAGTCACGCTGTCGCTCATCGGTTGAGCGGCAGCGTGTCTTCGGTCTGACGAAGAACTTCTTCTTTGCCTGCCGCTGAATAGGTCCAAATCGTGGTTTGAAAGGGGAACCATACCACAGAACCGTCTCGAGAGACCCAAGCTAGAAGCGGATAAAAATGCATATATTAAAAAATCAATTTTAATATTAATAGAACCCATTAAATTCCGAGGGCTCATAAATGTATTGTATTAAAAGCTGTTTTTGTAAAATATTTGTAAATTATCATTAAACCTTTTTTTAGCTGGGATTTATTCAAGTTGAAAAACAATTTTCTTATGATATACATTCCGAATTATTTTATATATGCATATATTTTTATTAACTATTTTTGAATTGCCTGATTTTGCTATATCATTTCGGCTGTGGATGCTGATCAAGACAATATACACATACTTTATGGGGTCGGAGATGCTTCCTTCTGCCTGTTTCATATAATTGTAAGAACGCAGAAGAGTTACAGAAAAATGTTAGATTTTGAATAAATTATGGAAATAAATAAAAATGCGGTCTAAAGGCTAGATTAAAGGAATTTATGGTAATAAAACAGCTAGATTTGATAGTGTTATCAAGATTATAACTAGCATTATTTGCCACATTATTGATTATCATCCTCATCAGGAACATACTCCATTCCAGATAAACGTTTGAGGCGTCTTAAAATGAATATGCTTTAGACTTTGTTTGAACAGGGTATCTGGTAGCTGATCAGTTTATCTCCTCTTGCCTTAATATGGCAATCTTTGCTGCCCTTTGAGAAGCATATTAAATTGCGATTCCTATTGTTATTTTGCAGCCAATTTAGAAATTGCGAAACAGAAAATGTTTCAAATGTTGTGCTGTCTTTGTTGCTGTTGCTGCTGCTGCTGCTGTTGTTGTTATTGTTGTTGTTGCAACACTGCAGCACTGCAGTAGGCCGTAAATTTATGTTGCATTAATTTATTGCACTGGTTTTTTGTCCAAGGAGGCACGCGGCGGGTAACGAGAACTAGTTCAAAATGCGAAACCAAAACGAAATGGCAAGGCGCAACGCAAATGGAACACGGGCCGAAATGAAAGGGAAACTGTAACCGAAATGTTCTTCTTTTGGGCCAACTTTACCAAATATATTTGCACTCTATATCAGTTGGTGCTGTTTAATGTGTTGGTTGCAGGGGGCCGTAGGGGTTGGGTGGGGTAGCAGCGTTAAGATGCATCGCCTTCAAGTGTGCTCAAGGTTCTCGCTCGCGTTGCACATTAAGTTGTCTGCTGCTGCTGTTGTGGCAGCTGCTTTGTTGGGCGCCGCTTATCTGCATGCGGCGCAATTATTTCAGCTTGTCACACGTCCGCCAACGGTGGGGGGGGGGGGGGGGGTGAGTGGAAGAAGAGCGGTGAGTAGGGGGTGGGTGTCTGTTGCACAGCGCGTTGGCTTTTCTGAACTTTACAAATTGAAATTAATTACTTTGTGCCATTGTCCAGCGAACGCGCGGCAGCCGTTGCAACAAGACAACAAGACCTGCAAGTGCACCCCCATCTCCCTCCCCTCTTTCACTAGCTGGCTCCCTCACCCCCTTCCCATTCGCTCCCCCCCTTATCCGCACTCTCATTTGCTCAAAGCTGCGTTTGCAGCAGTTTATTTGTTTCAGTGCAGCCCCCTCTCTTATTGCATTGTGCTCCGCATGCATTTGTCATATTTGCAGCCCGACCCTCTCGCCCCCTTACAACCACACTGCCCCATGCCCGTCTTGGCCAGCATCCACTCGACGCTATTCGCGGCCCATTTAGTTTTGTGTTTCTTGTCTAACTTCACTTTTTGACCGCTTACCACGCTCCATATCAAATAGCATGCCACCCTGCCCCTCCCTCCGCACGCTACCTTACCCGGCTGCTGTCTTGCCCTCTTTGCCACCTTCTGCGCAGCTTCTTGTTAAATTTTGTTGTTTATTTCGTTGAGCAAGTTTTGCAAATTTTGCCAATTTTCGGGAACTAAGCAACGCAGCACAAGGCACAGCGCTCGCCTCTGCCCTCTCCGCCCTGGCAATCCAGCCCTTAACCACCATCTGTTCCCACCCCCACTCACCCTTTCTCTCTTTATTTCTCTTCACTTCCCCTTTGACTGTCACTGGTTACAAGCGAGCGCGCCGCTTAGTTTTTTACTAAATACAATAGAAATTGCTGGACCTCAGCCAGTCCGTTCCACTTCCACTTGCACTTGCTCTGCACCCCCCCCTCACTCTGCCTTGCCTGACCATGCTGTCAGTTTTTCATTACTATTTGTTAGTTTGCCGTATTCTGTTGCAAAGTTCTTTGTCATGTTTGTTGCTGGCCATGTTGCGCATACGCCGCGTCAACCAGCTTTTTCCCTGTTTCCCGGCTGTTGTAGCTGTTGCCTGTTGCCTGTCGCTTGTCGCTTGTCGTCTGTCGCCTCAGCAATGGCGAAATGTTTTTAGTTGCTTAATAGACATTGACAATGGAGTAGGTAGTTCGCTTTCCACTTCCAGAATAAATTAATAATGTGCAAGAGATTCTCTGGGAATGTTTCATAAATTCTAAAAAATTCGCACAACTAAAGGCTAAATTGATATAATCTAGTTTTTATATAAGGCATTGTCCAGATGGACTGACTGAACGCTGATCAACGCAATCTCGAGCGAGGAGCGAGAAGTCGCCAGTTCAACTCCAGTAGCAATATGTGTTTCAATTCATATGTTTTTTATTTCAATTAGTCGATTGAGAACTTTGACTGGGCTCGAAATAAAGGCATCGAGAATAATTTTTTTATTTTTAAATTACAAAATACAGTAAAAAGCGTTTTGGGCGGACAGAGACCATCGTGCAATTGTTGCCCGCTCAAGAAAAGTGTACACCTAGTAAAGTTTTCACTGTATATTAAATTGGATTTGTTCAATTAATTCAAACAGAAGTTTTTTCTTTTGTGCAATTAAGGTGAGATAATTTTCATGAAGCAAACTTAACATGAGTAACGAGAGCAATAATGAGCTTCGTAGCTAGCTTTTACTTTGTTTAATAAGCTTATATTTTTTTTTGTAATCAAAGTATTAACAAGCCTTATTTGAATTCATGAGAATCGCATAGGAAGGTATTAGTTTGAAAGTACTTGTTCTATAAATTTGCATCGCAGCGAGAAGTAAACTTTGTCTGCATTTGTTATAAAAAAAACTTATATATATGTAAATACATACATATATGCGTACATACCTACGTAGATTCGAAGAGGAATAAAGCGTTTTAGAGCTAATGGGCTAAGTAAATATAACCTATTGTTACGTGCATTCATACAAACATACATACATACATACATACATACATACATACATAGCATACATACGAATAGCTACATTCCTACAAACATACAAACATGCATACATACATACCTACATATATAAATGCATATATAAATTCAAACATATAATCGCGCAAGTATACAAACATATATATGTAAATCCAAGCATGCACATAGAAACGCCTTGAATATATGCATACATAAATGTTAATATACATACAGACTACATACAAACGTGAATGTAGTCAAAGAAGAGTAATACTTTTAGAAGCGAACAGACGTGCTTTTAATACTCAATTATTGTTAAAAATTCAATCAAATTATTTTGTGATCGACGAAGAGTTGTTTTTTCGCTAGTGCAAGTCGTGTTTTGTGTTACAGTAAGGTTTATTAATTTGTGAATTCACAAAGTGTTGCGTGTTTGTGGATATCTTTTAATCGTGGTTAAATATCAATTATTGCGCTAATATGAATGGGGTATGGTATTTGAGAATTTCCATAGCGAGTATTAGCTGACTTTGCCCGAGGCAAGTTATTAATAATAAATATAGGACTTTATTTTTTACCTCGACCGGAGAAATAATTAAAGTGTGCCTCCTTTGGCAACAGCCCGAGTAAAATCGGCGCATCACGTTTTACAGAGAAGCTTTTAAATTAGATTTAAGTGGTTCGTGCGAAAACAAAAAGTTGCATTCAATAGTTTTATTTTTAGTTAATTATGGTTAGGCAAAATAAGAAGCAAATTTGTGGCTTACTTTTGCAAAGTACTTAAAAACTTTTTTTTTTATTATTATTAATATTTGGCAGAGTCGAGTGCACTACGATTACCCGGGATCTAAAGTGCTTTTCTTTGGAAAAATTAATTTCATAGCAGCTCTTTTTATGCATTCCTATCACATGCAAATATGCAATCATTTTCCCGGGCTTCAAAACTTAGGTACTCAAATATTTCCTGTCAATTTAATCGGCCAACTAAAAGTAACTGCTGATTGGAAAAAGTGCAATATGGAATTCGTATAACTAAAAATATGAGTTAGAAAAACGTTTTGGCCAATTCAAGTTTGAGCCACAAAACATTTGAAATTTAGGTAGAACTGAAATCAGTTTTTACTATTTGAATCCATCAAAAGGGTGTGTGTGTGTGTGTGTGTGTATGTGTAATGTAGTTGCTGCAACTACCTCAAGCTGGGTGGACGACGCACATAAATTGTTGTTGTAGCTAAACATAAGTTAGTTGTGTGAGTCGCATACACACACACACCAACACATACAGCCGCCCACTTGGAGACAGTCATGAATATGAGCACGAACAACATGTAAGTGGGCTGAGTGGGCCAGGGGGCGGGGTTAGGGGCTACAGTACAACCAACTGTTGCATGTCTGCAGCTGAAATATAGCGCATAATTGCTGCATATTTCGTTGCAGTGCATGCGCGTTCGTGTGTGTGTGAGTGTGTGTGTGTGTGCGAGTCATTTGTCAGCATGTTTTACAACACTTTTTCTAGGGCTTATGCTACTTTCTGTCTGCCTGTCTCGGTATGTCTGTCTGTCTGTCAGTCGGGCAGCTGCCATCGATGATACAATTCTCAGCTTTAATTTTCCCATCAGCAAGCTGCTTTCTTTTGTCGCGCTTGTCTGTTGCCGGCAGTTGTTGCTGTCGTTGCTTATACCCTTCTTTGAGAGTATTACGACTTTGTCATAAAATATGTAACGCATAGTAAGAGATGTCTCTTCAGTCAATATATACTTGAGCAGCATAAGAAGATATAGTCTATCTGCTTCCTACATATATGCAATATATTATCTGCACCGGAATACTT